GGCCAAACGGACCTGAAGACTGTCTTTCCACACCACACATAACATCTTCAAATGGTAAGAGCATTAATCAGCGTATATCTAAACTTAAAATTCAATTATAAAATATTTCTATTCCTTAACTCACCTTTTTGGCAGGCTCCGTGTGTCATTATTCCAAGGCTTAACTTGCCTACTGGTAGTCCAAACGGATCTAAAATCCCTGAAAAAACAGCAAAACCAGCAAAGGTGTCATTTTCATTCAGTTTTTACATCGTTCTTACACAAGAATTCAAAACTTACATTCTCATTTTGTCCACAGAACATCTCTAAACAGGGAAGAGGTGGCCACTCAGGCAGCAAAAAGTAAAATGGACAGCCTTGTTAACACAGGAGGTGTCGAATATGATGAAGATAGTCAAACAAGATGATATGAAGTGAAGTTAACTTCATAGTGGAACAATGTGAGTTTGACATCATTCATTGAGGCTGATGTTAGTCTAACTTTGCTGACGACAATGTTACATTCTCGTCATTGTAATCAATACTTAATCATAAGTAACTTGGTATTGTAGATATGGTCATTTTGAGTAAATCTTAGCGTAAATCTTCGATCTTAGAGTAAATCTTGAGACTTTGTACTGTCATTTTAAAGATTTTTAAATTTATTTTTTGTAGTCTCTTAAGTGTTTTGAAGTTACTCTTATACCAGTTGTTATCCAAGATTTGTTTTCTTTTTTTTCTTTTACTCTCTTAATGGGGAAGTGTGTATCATATAATTGTTTAAAGATGTAGTGGAATGCGTTGTACTTCCCATTCACATCAGTTTCTTCGAAGACTGCTTCCCAGCTTTGTTCTTGGAGTGCTCTACAGAAACTAGCTTTTGATCTTTTGGTAAACATTCTTCTCATTATGCATGGTAGTTGCGGTTTGTTTAGCTTTTGGTTGATGCTGATGAAAAACTGGCTAACGATGATGCAGACACCTGCTGAACTTTTCAAGACACAAGAGCTCAGAGATGCCATCTGATGCGCTGACAAACAACTGCGGCCTCTGAAGAAGAGGCTGGAAAGCCAATCAAGAGAGTTAAAACAAGTTAAGAAG